TCTTTATTTACCGCAGATGGTGTGTTATTACACCAGTAGACAGACACTGCGACTGAGGTTAATTTACTAAAGGAGCAGAAAATGTTGTCTTAACTTAGTGAATAAGGTGAAGCTATGTTCACTTTTAATAACCAGTCCTCTGCAAGGGGATTTTAAAAATGGGATATTTGCTTGTACATAATTGGACGATTGAAGTAAACATAGCTTCAGCTTATTCAGTAAGAAATTTCGTCCAAATTTCGATTTGGAACACAACGAATCGCACATGTCTACTGAACATTCTCCAAAGCGCAAGAACGCTACTAATCGGCCGCACGGGATCGCAAGGCACATATGTCCTGGTGCGATCAAAATAGTGCTTGCATTACTTGAGAGCAGGAATAATGTGCCTTGCAATCCCGTGCGGCTGGAGGGAGTGGCTACGGTGCCATTCACTTCAATGGATCGCCACGCCCCCTCCTGCTCCACAAAAGTGGGCCGGCCGCAATGTGAGGCAGTGCGTTCTGGCCAGAATCGGGCCAGAACGCACTGCATCTGGTGCGAAAGGGCCCTTATACTTTCTATCTTCTGACAAATTAGCTCTAGTTAGTTTCTGTTATGACATACGCAGTAGTCTGCATGTGCATTAGGGATTCCTGAAGTTGTTAATAAAGCTATCAAGAACTACTCACAGACTACAGGATACAACACTGCCCAGTTGTCTTTTGCTAAACTACTCAAACTCTCCCAACAACACAAACACCAATCATTCTGTAGTCCCAAGAACTAGGAGGATTAATATGACTCCTTAAGATGACACAGGAAGTGTGCACAGGACAGCTCTGAATTCCTGTTGCACTTTTTTGCAAATATTGAACAGATATAACAAATCGCTCCCAATGGCATAGCTAACACACCAAATAATAGCAAGTAAGAGAAGTTCATTGTTGAGCTTTACATTCATTTTAATGCAGCATCTACTGCATATTATCTAATGACTTCTCCAAAATGAATGGGCTGCCTGAACACAACATGGTAATGTTTGATGCAACGTGCGTTAATTCACAGCAACTAGATGCCAAAAATGTGAATCAAGCCCTAGTGTTGTATATTGGATCAAAGCCTCATGAGAGTTGCTAAGTTTAACACTGTCCCCTGACATTGTGTGCCTGTGTCTAAATGAGCACAGCAGCATCTGCAGGTAGAGCTCCCCAGACAATCACTTACACACACTGTGCCAAGGGAAAGCTAAACACAAAGAGAGGTTAAAGTGGACCTCCTTTACCCATTTATTTACAATAACAACACACACACCTTTAGAAATGTTTAGTAATGACAATCTACAAACAGATACTTCTAGATAATTGCCGGCTTTGTATTCTTTGTATAACTTATTTCTCTTTTCTTCCCCAGTCTTCTATCAGTGGCCATGTTTACTAAGGGCAGGTTACTAGATCTCCCTTTACTTCCTGTAACTCTGGCACATGTGACTAGGACATGTGACTATGTCATCATCTCAGAGGAGGAAAATGCCTTTAGAATGACAAAAAAGGAGAGCGCCCACTCCATGTGAAGTATTGTTTAATAATTTGTTTTTAAAAAAATAGTAATGTACTCACAAGAGAAAAGTGACACAAGCGTATTCAATGGTTCCCCTCACATGAGACTATCGCCCATCAGAAGCCACAGCACAGCCGAGTCAGCTCACAACCGAAGTCGTCTTCCAACAGCGAGTGGCAAGGGTTAACGCGTTTCTGGGGTACGCCCCCTTCCTCAGAATGCCTTTCCTTCAGATCTCATGAGATTACAAATGAGATTTCCCAGCAATGGAAAATAATGGTTCACGAGAAAAAGCTTTCAATGGTTACCTGCTCGCCATGCACAGTGGTGTGGTGGTTAGCACTTCTGCCTTACAGCACCAAGAGTTCAAATCCTGGTCAGGATGCTGTTTGCATGTGCTTGCGTGGGTTTCCTCACACTCTCCAAAGACATGCTTGAAGGTTAATTGGCTCCTGTCTAAATTGCACTTTGTATGTATGCATGTGAGATAGGGACCTTAGATTATAAGCTCCTTAAGGGCAGGTGTGTATGTGCAACTGTGTAAAGTGGTACGTTGGTGCTATATAAAAACCTGTACTAAATAATAAAATGCCCCATAAGTCAAGACACACAGCAACCCCACAAAATAATTGAGCTATTCTTCACCCTCCAGCATAGTGTGGATTCATCACTTATGTAAACTAACTTGGGACAGGCCAGATCAGGGTATATTTTCTGGGACACCGTGGAGAAGGTAAAAGTCTCTAGACTGTAAAACAAAGAGATGGGGACCAAGACTGGGCCACATGAGTTGCTATGGCTTCCTTTACCTTGAACAAATTAGACTTGTTGCCAATGTTATTAAATAGAAAGATCTTAAAGGAGAACTATGAGGTGAGTGCTTTTCACTCACCTCATAGTTCTAGCCGACCTGTGACAATGAGACTGTCACAGGTTGGCTCAGTAGATCGGGAAGTGAGCGAACACATACCGGCGTTCGCTCACCTCTCGATCCTGTCACAGCTCTCTGCCGTGACAGGGGGAGGGGCTGGATTCCCCCCTCCCCGCTACGATCCTCCAGCGCTGACTGGCGGTACGGACGGGTACAGCTGGCTCTGCCTCTAGGTAGGCAGAGCCAGCTGTCAGTCACGCAGCTGGGCACAATTGTCGGGATCCACTTCAGCGTCTCAGTATACCGCGAGCAGCAGCTGGCGGTATACTGAGCCTAGGGTGACGGGAGGACGCTAGTTTGTGTCCTCCCGTTACCCTAAAGAGGAACTATGGGGAAAAGCCTTAACCCCTTAGTTCTCCTTTAAAGCTGAACTCCAGACACAAAAACTTTCATTGAAATATCTTGCACATAAACCGTGCAGAGAGCAGAGCTGTGGGAAGCTTACCCACTACAGACTGCCAGCTGATAACTACAGGCGGGGCTGGATACAGGACCAGTCACTAGAACCGTAGCCAGCTCCTTTTGTGCCCGATGCAAGAACAGAAAATTGTGTCCATGGCAACAGGGGCGCAGCCAGAAGGGACCCTGTGTGGCCCCGAAACATTGGCTGTTTGACGCATGTGACGATTTAATAAAAAGTGCTTTACTTCTTGCACACATCTTCGAGTGCTGGTGACTTCTATTTGTAGCTACATAGTAGCTACAGCCCGTCACCCTGCACAAGAAGAGAGAGAGCAACAGTGACCGGTATTTATTACAGGAAGCTTCTAGACAGTGGCATCGTTGTTCACTAAATTACTGCACAGATATGGAATAAATACAGAAAAACAAAGCAAGATTCTAGTAAGAATACACACCCACACACCTCGTATGTAGACAATATTTGCTTTTCCTGGAATTTAGCTTTAATGCCAATGTTTTATTTCTAAAAAAAAGTGCTTAGTTATGAGCACATAATACACATTCTTTCAATTTGAAAAGCTGACCATGATAAAAATACGTGGAAAACAATCTATTATACATTTGATAAAAGGATGGAAACATAGAAATTAAATAGAACCCTGAAAACTGATTAGGATTGCACTAGATATGGTTATGTCGTAATTGCTGTATGGTACGTAACCCCAGGGCCGTCCCTATAATAAGGGGACCTGAGGCTACTGCCTCAAGCGCCTAGCTGTTGTTGGGTCACGTGGGGGATGGCGGAAGGCAAAGCGACATGGCCGCTCTGCTGCACAACGTTTGCAGTGTGCCTGCCACCCCCTTTTCCGCCAGAGCGTCGCAAGTTGCTATGAGTCAGACAGGGAGATGCAGAACTCTTACACATCTAACCACATGGCTCTTAGTGGCCTCACTCTCCACCAGCACAACCCCACCACCACCTCGAATGGCAAAAAAGCTAGGGACACCCCTAGCATAACCCACAAATTGAACATACTAACAAATCAGCATGGACCTAGTGTTCGTTTCAAAGCTGAACTCCAGGATAAGTAAATATTGTCTAAATGCAATAGGCATATAGATTCTTGCTTGTATCTTTGAGTCATTTCTGTATTTCGTCCAGATCTGTGCAGTAATCCAGTGTGAAGCTTTGCCCTTGTGCAGGAGCTTCCTGTAATAAAGACCAGTCACTGCTGCTCTCTCTTCTTTTGCAGGGTGACAGGTCTTGTCTCCGCCCCCTCCTGTAGATTTCTGCAGGCAGCCCATAGTTGGTGGGTGTGCTGGGCCCCTCCCACAGCTCTGCTCTCTGCCCAGGATATGTGCAGTCCAGTGATGATGTCACCACTACTTTATAAAACGTACTATCTGGTGCACATAAAGTGGATGTTATATCGTTTGTGCCTAAAAAGAGGAACATATTTCAAAATGAAGTGTTTGTGCCCAGAGTTCATCTTTAGGGAACTGGCCCTAAAGATGAACTCTGGGCACAAACACTTCATTTTGAAACACCAGCCACAGTGCATTCTGGGCCAATTGTGGCCGGAACGCGCTGGATCGCTTGCGGCCGGCCCTGGGGCAGGAGAGGGCATGGTGATGCATTGAAGTGAATGGCACAGCAGCCACGCCCTCCAGCCGCACGGAAACGCAAGGATCATCAACACCTGTGGTCCAGTCAGAAAAAATGCTCCAAGCACTATTTTTTCAGAGCGGATCACAGGCATGGATGTGCCACGCATTCCCGTGTGGTCGATTACATTGCAGGGCTGGAACACACTGTGGCTGGTGTGTACTAGCCCTTACAGTCAGTCCTGTTTGTTTAGCTACATGTTTTTGGCATCACTTGCAAATATATGACATTTTCCATAAGAACTGTAAAGGCAGTTTGCGTGATAAAGATAACAGTGAGGAAGGTGGAATCAAGTCACTCCTCCACACATATGCAGCATCAGTTGTCATACTTTATTAATATAGCGTAGTGCAAGTTAGTAAACGTTTACTCGAACATGCAGCCATAGAAAGCACAACTAAGACATATTGTAACTGCTGGTCCTGATGTTCTCTAATCATGGATGGTATATAAAAGAAATTAAATCCTGGAATGTTTTCCAGTAGAAGATCCTGAACAGCTGTACACTCCCAACATTTGTAAGGAATCATAAATATGTCATAACCGTTCCATTTTTCCCAATCTGCCAAGGCTCCAGAGGTTGGAAGCGCAGTAGAATCCTACAAACAAACAAAAAAACGACCAATAAAAAATAGTATACAAGAAGCTGATAATTGCTTAGAAGATGCTCAGTCCAACACATGAATAGACTCATCACCAGCAAAAAAAACAAAGATAAATATATGGTAGTTCAGGCCCAGTCTTGGTTAAAGGGTATTTATGGTCAAAAACTAAAAAATAAATATGTATTCTATACTGAATTGCCACATTTCATTCTATCCCACTCCTAATAGCCATACCGATCTAGAAGTTTGTAAACTTAGTGAAGATGACACAATTTCATTCAGCACTGTGACTAGGCACTTCATTGTGTCACAACTCTCACAGAGCCTTCTGAACTACAGCTCCAGGTCTGAACAATGCAACATTATCATTGCTTGCTGGAAGCAATGCATGATGGGCTATGTAGTCTTGAGAAATCGAGATTACATCACATCAAGCAGCAGAGAAAGAGATGCAAAGCACTCTGGGAATCCAGGAAGTTGTTGAGGGCCCGTTCACTCCAGACAGTGCGTTCCAGCCCGATTCCGGCCAGAACGTACTGGATCGCATTGTGGCTGGCTCATTTTGTTTTGGGGCGGTAGGGGACATGGCAGTCCATTGAAGTGAACGGCACCGTAGCCACGCCCTCTGGCCGCAAGGAAACGTGTGGCACACCAATGCCTGCAATCCGGTCAGAAAAATGATTTAAAAAAAAAAAAAACAATGGTGCTTGCAGCATCTGTTCTGACCGGACCGCAGCATTTGTTCTGACCAGACTTTGCCGTGTGGCCAATCGCATTGCAGCCGGAGGGTGTGGCTACGGTGCCATTCACTTCAATGCCTCCTGCCCCACAACATAATGAGCCGGTCGCAATGCGATCCAGTGCCTTCTGGAACGCATTGTGTTACTGCAAAGTGCCATAGGGTTCCTTTGAGATACCCCGCACCTCTTCTCTGGTCATTGTGGCCTCCCCTCTTTCCAACTTCATCATGGCCTCCATTGGTCCAACATTATACGCAATGATGTTGAGGGCCTAGCTCCATCCTGATGTGGAAAGGGAGACTGGGGCGCCAAATGCCAAGGGACCATGGGGTAGGGCAAGTATTCCTCTTTATTAGAATCTCCTAAGGCTAAAACAAGCATTATATCCTATATTATTTGTATTTATTATCTCCTCATATATCACGGTACAGATCAGCCCGTGCTGGAACCTCTCACCTGGTGACTTACTACAAAGGAGAGAGGAGAGGAAGTGTATTCAATCTCACTTTAAATCAGTTCATATTTAAAAACTAACATTTCCAATATTAGCAGAATCTAGCTTTTCTTACTATATCTTTGTAGTAACTGAGCCTCATGTATTGTTTGCATTATTCCTGCATGGGACTGAAGGGACAGTTCTAAGCAATGCAGGGTTTCTTGCACCTATAGGGCTTGTTCACACCATGCCCATTAAGCTGTGCTTTTCTGCACATAGAAAACAATTGTGTGGTGGTGTGCAGAAAAACGTAGCTCAAACAACATGATGTGAGCAAGCCCTTAACCTGAGCCCTTACTAGAAGGCAGCCATCACGAATGATCAATTCCCCTTTAAATTTGCCCATTTTCAACAGGTTCTTTACCTGTCAGGTGTGAGACGAAGTTCTTTGGTCAGAAACTCAAAGAACTTCGAGCTGTGCTCTTTATTCTGTTCTGCTGTTCCCACTACTCCAATGGACGAGATGATCAGCTGTACGCATGGTGCTGAAGAGCCACCAATCAGCAAAGATGCTCCTCTCCTCACGATCACATTCACCCTCTAGGGGGGGGGGGAGAAAAAACAGGTTAGTCTGCATTATATCCGAAAGAATCCAACTCTTGTGTTGTTTTGGGCTCCAGCCTGAGCTGCCACCACTGTCTCATAGTTAAAAGCCATTGCATAAAATTTTTGGAGGGTCCCATTTAAAAAGCAGCAGTATTGTCATACCACAGCTATAAAAAGAAAAATACATTATGCATATTTAGATTTACAGTCAGGGGAAATCCCCCCCCTTCATGGTTTCTTGGACCAGGGCCCTGACGTTTCTAGTTGCACCTCTGCCCAAACCTATTATTATTTCACCTTTGGGTTGATGGCAGTAGGTTTCTTATATTTTTTGTATTCCGACACCAGATCCGAGTGCAGTTCACCACCCCCCAGGCATGTGCTATATCCAAAATGCATGTCTTTTTTTTAGATTTTACATTATGAAGGTCAAAAGGGGTTTTCTGCAGCTAAAGTGAGACGTGATTGGCTTTGGCAGGGTTTGAGTAGATCTCTCATGCAATCACAATTTTGCTTGGTCTGACTTTGAAGCAGATGAGAAATTGTAGAGCGACTGCATATACTAGAAATATAATGCTTCTGTGATGTACCTTCAATAAGACAGTTTATCCGCTTTATGTAGCCATCTGTAGGACATGGACCAATGTGGAGCCAGCAGAGTGAGGCCCCATTTACACTTAATTTTGTATAAATGCAAGTTTGCATGCGTTTTTCCAATGTTTACTGCACGTGAGCCCATTCAAATCAATGGGCTGCACATGCACGGCAAAGGAGCTGATGCAGCATTTTCAGATTCAAGCACGTCACTTTTTTTTCCCTGCACTTTTGTGCGCCTTTGACGCACGTCCATGTGCAGGAAAAAGTGTTTTTTCAAGTGTTGCATGAACGTACGCCAGAGCACACGTTCACACAACTCCAAAATGTATACAGGGACTGAAAAAAAGGAACTCCAGGATTTTCAAAAAAGTTAGTCCTTGCAGTGGGGTTACCCCCCGCAAAGGTTAACTGCTCACTTTTGTCTAGGAGTGCAAATAAATATACTCATCTGATCCAACCTGGCTACTAGACCGGTCCGCGCAGCCTTTTCTTCCCCCAGCTTCAGCGGTCTATGACCTGCTGGCATCATTACATCTATGCAAGGTCCATGACTTGCATTACACGCGAGGATGTCAATGACATACCACAGCCAGAGTGCAGGGGCAGAGAGGTGAGCGGTCACCACCGCAGGATCGAGGATCAGGTGAGTATATCTTCTTTATTCCATTCCCTACACCAAAACGAGCAGTTAACCCTTGCAGTGCAGGGTAGCCCCATGGCAAGGGATAACTTTTGAAAATCACAGATCTGCTTTAAATCCATTCTGGCTGGCATAATAGAAATCATTGTTTCCCAGATGTGAAAGCTTGCAAATTATGATGAAATCAACACATGGGGAAGACTTGTGCAGCCAATAAACATTTTTGAATGACACATACAATGAATGACAATGCACTCAGCATGCTTTCTTACTCACTTCCTTAGGTTTGCCCAGAATGGATGCTGCAGCCGAGCACAGCTTTTCAGCAAAGTCTCCTGGAATATCCTGCTGGGGAATATTGGTGTCCAGATCCAGGAAAGGCATGATTGGAGTTGGCTGCACACAGGAAGATGTCGACTGGCAGCTGAACCTGCAATCTCCAAAGTACAAACTGGAAGTTTCTGATTGGCTGACCCCTGATACGCCTCTCAAGTCATGCAATTTTCCTCTTAAAGGTACAGGCGCAAGTAGAAAGAGAGATTGAAATATGCAGATCTGCCACCATGTGTTTCAAGATGAAACTTTCTTACAGGAAGAAAAAGTCTGCGGATACGACAATAGCAAAATATTTTGTTCTTGGTTGGTGGATAATAAAAACTAAATGCAGATATTCAAAATAAATGTGTAATTATATTATAATAACAACAAGAACAACAGTTATTATTTTAAAATGTTTTAATATAAATGCATAATAAATGTTTTAGTTTAATAATTAAGTGATATTAAAGTCAAAAGGATTTTAACCTATTTCAAATGCTGATGAAAGCACTTACAGTGCATGCTGCTCTTTGATGTTTAAAAGTTTTAGTTTCCTGAAGAATCATCTGGTCCCTGAGCACTGGTCCTGATATCCTGTTTTAACCATTTGCTGTCCGGAGCAATTTCTTACTTTTACACACACGATATAATCTGAATTTTTGGCTAGAAAACTGCTTCAAACCCCCAAACAATGATATATTTTCTGAAAGCAGAGGCCCTGTAAAATAAAAAAGATGCTAGTTGCAATTTTTTATGTCGCACGGTATTTGCGCAAATGTTTATCAAACCAGTATTTTTAGGATAAAATACACTAAAATGAAATGTAATGCACAGAAACAGAATCTAATACCCAATTTTTTGGTAAAATATAAAAGATGGGGTCACGTCGGGTAAATAGATACCAAACATGTCAAGCCTTAAAATTGGGCTCGGCCGTGAAGCCGCATAAAACTTCAATGCCCCAAATTTCCCATAGGGGACATTTTAAAAGCTTTTACCCCTCATAAGTTTAGTGCTAACAGTGATTGATGGCTCTAGAAATGATTACTCTCACTCCGACGGTCAGGGCTATATGTAACGTGTAGCGCAATTTTCATTTTTGCATGTAGGCGCACCAACGCATGTTTGCGTATGTATGTGCGTTGCGTGCACATGGGGGCAGGGGACATAAAAATATTTTTTTGCATTTGTAAAATTTTCTTATATGTTACTTTAATTTTTTTAAACACTTTTTTTCACACTAACCTTATTGCTATCACATAGGGGGCTAACATGCCACCATATGTATAAACAATCCGGCGGCTGTATAGATGCCGGATCGCTTGTACATTAACAGTCATCGCCCGGCTGTTTAAAATGACACCAAAAACATGGCTGCAGCAGCAGTGTTCTTGGTTTAACCACTTCTGCAGGCCGCCGTATATGTATGTATTGCGGCCCGGAAGTGGTTAAGGCTGTGACTAGGGTTGCCACCTGTCCCGGATTCAACTGGACTGTCCGGTTTTGAGTCCTGTATGTGCTGTGTCGGGGTTTCAGCTGGCCTGAAACCTTGAAACA